AAAACTTTCTGATAAAACAATTTTTTATAGACCAAGATTTTTGCTAAAATTTTTTACTTTTTAATTAATTATCCTTAATGCACGATTACTAGTTGAATAATATATATTTCTCGAAATACTAAATAGAGTGTTTTCCTTTTCTGGAGATAAAAAATCAATGTTAAATATGATCACGACATTTGACATTAATTATTCAACTTTTATCTATCAATGCAGATTTGCAACATTCTATTTCATATGTTCTATTGAAAAAATCAATTGAAAGTTTTCTTCAAGTCAGCTGACTTTATTACTTTTAAAACAACTTTATTTTTTCACGAAATCCCAGGTTGTTGACGATAAAAGACGTGAAACGACTAAAGATATTTAAAAGTCAAAGAAATTTCTGGGTTCAAGGATGAAATGAATTAAAATGTTAGAATATTTCAGAGACTTGATCATCAATAAATCGCACAAGCAATGACTTTTTTCATTCCTCTCTTTTGTCTAGTTCTCGAATGTATGTGTGGAGGTAGATAAGAGAACCTAAACTCCCCTCTGGATCCTTCTGAGTGAATGTAAAGGATCCCGCGGTCTCCAATAAACCAACAACGTCCAGCAAGGTCAACCGCCGCGTCAACAATTTAAATGTCTCCCTCGTTCCGTCACTCTCACATTTATTTTACGTGTATTAAATTTCCAATTATCTCATTATATATTATGTATGTTACATTATATTTATATTTTTTTACGTTTATTATTAATCATTTTTACTATTATATACTTATGTCTGTTTCTTTTTCAGGTCACGAAAAAACGTTTTGCGGTAAAAAATTCAATTCACTCTCTAATCATTTTCTTTTATCAACAATGGTACATGTTATTAATTCATCGTTTCTGCTGTCAGTATTAACATCCAAGAAATCGATTAGTGTCACGAAATCATTTACTACAATTACCGGAAGTAACTTGGTAGCAGCTTTACTCAAGTATCAAGCTAAAAACAGACGTTTCTCGCACCGGGATATCGCCTCGTTAATACATATGTCGCGAAAGAACAGCTGTCGCGATTGAAAGTGTCTACTCTGTGGTTTTTGTTCTTTTTTACAGTCTCTTGTTCTTTACATTTTTATTATATCACATCTAGTCTCGCCTAACTGGATTAAATTTTCTAGTCTATGCTAATCGCTCCAGTGAGTTTAGTTGAAAGATTATTTTTTCGTTAATTGTCATTACTCTTAGTTATTACAACATACTGTTTATCACATTAAGAATTTTTCGATCTATCTGTACCGATTAAAGTAATTCTATTTCTAAATTTTTTACACTATTTAATATCTTACCGTGTGTCCTAACGATAGAAGTAGGGCCAACAAGTAAAAAGCCAGTAATGAAAAGCAAATTGAAGAGTCCACTAGGTCTGCAACCTGGTGGCCGCATCTTGCGACCCATTCCACTTGTTTTTCTCTTCTTCTTTTTTTCTTCTTGTTGTTTACTAATAAATCAGATTTGCACTTATCCTCAATTTCACACTCACGCTTAAATTCTAAATAAAATTTCAAAAATATCGATGAAATTTTTTTTCCTTCTTTCTTGAATTTCAATCAATTAATTAAAAAAAAATCCAAACGTCTTTTTCTCACATGGACACTGTCCTTCACGTTACACTCACCTTTAGTGATAAAAAAAAAATATTTCTTGCCAATTAAATAATCATGAATAAATAAAAAATGTACAAATTAATATCTGACTTTCATCAGCCGATTTTCGTGGTTCGATATAACTTGCTCAGTCTGTGTCCCGGTGAGGACTGACTTATCCGCGAGAAGCAAGAATCGCGGTAAGCAGCGGCAACCGGAGAAAGGTGTACCCCGTGGTGGTCGTAGCTTCGTTTCATTCTGTCTCCCTCCATCAACTTCTTTCTTTCTTCGACCTCTTTCTCTCTCAGTTGTTGATTCTCATATAAGAGTACGAGTATTGGAGAAGGCAAAGAAATCAGAGGAGAGAAGAGATGCACAGACGTGTGAGGTAGGTATGGGTCGATCGAGTAGGACTACTTCAAGTACCGTATTTCTTTACGTGTACACAAGTCTACAAATGTGTGAACGCTTTAAAACTGTCTCGTAGACACGCATGTGTGTTGACAAGTTGTTGCGTGCAAATGGTAACGTACCTGATCACCCGTTAGTACCGAGACATGGCAAAAATCCAGCTAGAAACGATCTAGAGATCTCAGAGATGTTGGAAAAACATTGAATGAAGTGGAAAAAATTAGACAGATGAGGAAACGAGTCAGGTGGACCTGGCGCAATGCTGGAGGGATATACACAGGTGGGAGCGACCTAAGGACCTACATTTGAGGACACGGAAAAGGTGGTGCTCGACACTCCTCAGAATCCATTCGGCTGAGACTTTGATGCTCTTCAGAATATTCGCACGACTGACCACCGCTGAAGTAGCTTTTCTTCTTCTTCTGCATCCACCACCTCTTTTCATGATTGATCAGACATTTCCTGCGACATGAGTTACCTTGAAATAGTTTCTATCTGACCCAATTATTACCATAAAAAATTCCTGAGATGTTTTTTAGTTTTATCGTTAAATAAAACTGTCAATTTGTTGATGGAATGAGTTCATTGATATATCTTGAATGTCATTAGTAGGCTACTTATCTGGCAGTAGCACTTTCTAACGTACATATAATCATCTGAAATGATTTTCCTTCCAATCCATTTCATTTAGACCCATCAACTTTTACAATTTCACACAAGATATGTCTAAAAAGATTGCTAGTTTTTATAAATTTTCACTTAGTACAAAATGTGGGTGATGTTTCTTATGATGAATTAATAATAGTGTTGATGAGTATCAGCGTGTAAACTTGATGCTCACTCTACTACAAGTAATGCACATTTCGTCTTTTTAGAAAGAAAGGAAGAAAAGAAAGGAAATTCATAAATTTTATGATGCAAGAAGGCGTAACCGTGATACTTGAGTGCTTCCGGTTTTCCCACTCTAGGCGTTCAAATGCTTTCTTATAATATCTTGCAAGTACAGTTCTTAATGCACGCATTTACGTATTGGAATTTCGATTTTCACGCTCGATTCTCCATTATCCAATCTCCACACCATTACTTTCATCTGGGGCCCCAGTCACTTGTATTTTTCGCACTAAGTGACAACCAATATCTTGATGTCACTTCTTAATATAGACTGTAGACTATAATTGTATCAACCGTTAAACACGCCCTAATGCTATAACAATCTAGAAACAATTACGTTGTAATAGTTATTATCTGTTAATCTATTTAGGTTTACAATTTCAACGACTTAATATATCTTTACTAGCTTGCTAACTTACAGTAAATGGAAAAATGCTGAAGGTTGTCTTAAATAAATAAATTAGTCTGGTGGAAAATTACTCCATAAAATATAGTGTTAGATCAAGTATTATTTAAATTCAAATATTTTTTATGATACTTTCTCTTAACTATTTTGACATTAAAAATGCTTATAGAATTCCTCACAATCATCAATAATATTTAAAAAACATTTTTTAAATTCCAATTTTATTATTTTCATGAATAATTTTCTCTTTATAATGTACGAGAAGACTTAATTCTTTTTTTATTAAATTGTGCATTAAGTCATTAAGTATTCATAATCTTTATTAAACTAGTTGATACGTATAAACATTTTCCATGATAGGTACTGACGGTAAATGTTCAATAATCATCTGAACCGATATGTAAATCCTTCAATCTTCTATGATTCTCTCATCTTGATCTGCAAAATAGCATTGTAATCTCTTCAAAGCCAGTGATCCAGCGCTTCCCTCAAGCTTATGAATCAGATATTCCAGAGTGCTTCGAACTTATAGTATCACTAGAAATTACGGAAACCGCAAGGTTACCAGCATAAGAGATCCCTTCGGCATAGGTAATTGCAGTCATGTAAGACAACATCAAAACTTCACCTGGGGTGCATTTATTCTTCATCGGCACGCGACGATATAAAAGTTGTTATAAAATGTATATTACTTCCGGCAAATTTTCCTTCACAGTAACCAAATGAACTCTGCACTTTGACTCTTTAATGTTGATTCTTTACAGTGTTATATGACAATGCTGAGTAAATTCTACGTAACGTGTTCCCGCAAGACAAATTATTACGGTTAACAGTATAAATAGAGTCCCACAAGAGTTTAATATCACGTTAAGGTGACGGTGAGAGAATGAGGGAAAAAGAAAGAGATGCAAGACATCGTATTTGTATCCATAAGGTGATTTTATTCCACCAAGACACAAGTCTGTTGCTCAGCCTCGCTAACTTTCACTATTTGCTACGTGATCCTCCCCTCCTGCTCTCACTCCTTGTCTTTGCCTCTTCTCGTGGTGTTAAGAGAAATTCTTCCACGATCGGAACTTCATCGATAGGTCGTTACCATCATTAGTGTGTCCTCTATTCGTTAGAATGAAATCAAATTATAACGAGAACAAAATTACCTAAAAATGATGATGACAAATAAGTCTGGTTTATTATCACTCATAATTTATTCAAGACCTTGCATGAACTTCTTATGATGCTAAATGATACGACAACCTATCATCAAAGGCCATCGTGAAAGGGAAAAAGCGAAGAATGCGGCTGCAGGAGATAGGAACTCTCATGATTTGGGGATTCGGGTTAGTGGAACGCGCGACTCGCGCTTGGCCCGCGGCATCTCCCCCCGTAGAATTACTCGTAAGAGGATAATAAATAATGAATAACCGTAGATACTTCCATATGTCCTCTGATCATTTGCCGACAGGTATTTCGAATTTCTTCCCAGATCCACGCTGAGTTTCACTCGAAAAGACCCACCGGCCTTTTTCGTCTGCCATCATCTTTGGTTCGATTAAAAAAACCATGTCGTCAGGTCACGTTCCAGCATTTTATTTTATTTTCTCTTACCTCTCAATTTTTCTTTTGATCCTCTTCAATAATTATAGGTTGAAAAATCAATACACAATTGCACGGAATTATTAAATAAAATATATATTTCTTCAATGATTAATCAGTATCCATTTTTGTTAAATCAGTTTTCAACTTTTGATCATTGTGTTTACGTTTTTGATCAGTTTCTTTTTCCGAAGATGCTGTTGTATCAATCTTTGGCTTCACTGGTTTGCTCTCGGATTTTAATATTTTTCTTTGCATTTCCTCCACGTGTCGCTTACCAAATCGGCGAAATACAAAGTTCGGGAGGTAGCGCACGTCTCCGTCCCATTTGCGCAACATTTCACACTGAGTAGAATTCAGGATGTTGGGTATTTCTGTAAAGTACCGACACATTTTTATAAGTGAAATTTAACTACACGTGTAAAATAATCAAGTACCCTATTTCATACTGATGTGACTAAACATAGATAATTTAAACTGAATAATTTATTCGTACAATTAATTACTGATTTTATGTTTTAGAATGTAATAAACTTCAATTTCTTATAATTACATTTAACTTAGCTATTTCAATTTACATTTATCATGTCCAATATAATTCATGTATTTTTAACAACTCACATGTGAATTTGAATTTAAAAAACTAATAACCAAAATTATATAAATACCCGAAACTTATTTACATGATGTGCTCTTATTGTTTTGTGATTGATTATTTTGAAAGTAAATATTCTTAGATAAATAAATATGACATTGAACCGTTAGATTTCTATAGAAGAACTCAAATCCTCAATTTGTTAATAAACTAAACCATATAAACAAACTTTCAATATCTGACTAATTGGTAAAAGTATCGATATCAATTTCCAGAAATCCTGATCAATTAATTGTCTACTAATCAATACTTAAAATAACGTCTCATACATCAGAATTCATTAGTTAATTGATTGTTTAACACACTGAGAATCAACTCGAATGAAAGTAAAATAATTATCATTTCATTTTTTTGTGTCAGTAGATATACTGGTTTCAATGAGTTTCATTTATAAACTATATAAATAATAATCCTTTGCTGTATGTTCAGTCAGTAGTTTATAGAAAAAATATTTATTTAAGATTGAAGCAAGTAGTTACCTATTCCACAGCCATTATATTCGTCGTGGTCTCGTTCTTTATTCATCCTAAGAATATCTTCACGACTTGCATGACTTCGATTTTTTTTATTCGGTACTTTGTTTTTCTGGGCTATCAAATCCAGTTCTTCATCATGTCGAGCAATATATCTATTTAACAAATCGAGAGAAATAATGGAAAAGTTCTGTTCTACTTCACGAACATTTTATTTTTAAATTATTTATATTTTTATATGATAGAAATTTTTTCATTTACTTCTCTAAAAGTTCTGCAGTCAGTTCAGGTGTATAAGGACAAATATCTGGAACCATATGTTCTTGAATCCATAATATTTTTTCTCTAATTAAATTCTGTTTTATTGTTCCAGCTAGTTTTGATTGTTCTTTATGAATAGCTCTGAAAATAACGAATTTATAAATATTTAAATAAATAATATGAATAAATAGTTCTGTATGCAATTATATAAAATTTGATTGCTTGTAATGATTATTTACCGATTATTTTTTTTTGTAATAGCTAACATCTTCCTGCTGTTAGGATGTAATACTTTTTTTTGCTTTCCAAAAGCCTCCTTTTTGCTGCTTGGCTGCAGAACAAATTATTAGTTCAATAATTAATTTCAATAAATAATATTATAATACGAAAGAAATATTTTAATTTATGACTTACCATTTTTATAAGTTTCCTAAATATTTTCTTATGTCAAGGCACCAAAACAAAGTACAAAATATAACCTTTTATGTTGTAGTTGTTACAAACAACTTCAAGCTTCCTATAAATAATTACTTGATTTAATTAAAGTACTACTTAAAACTATAAAAATTGAATAAAATAATCGATCATTTAAAGAAAAACAGGAATAAATAATGTTATAAAATTCTTCAAAACACGTGGACATTTGCAACATGCCAAACAAGACAACAAACCTCGAAGCATAGATTTTGCAACTTGCGACATCTATTTAGCGTAAAATAACTCCTGAAACTTGAGAAAGATGAACGAAACATGTCGGTAACTGTAGCGATGTTCATTTTTATTGAACATTGATTTTATCTACTTCTTTGTTACCGACAAACCAGTGTACGAATTCTAGACCGAATAGATAGTGTGCTAATAAAATTGGCGGTTTTGCAAAAATTTTCTGATTCTTACTATATTCATTACCACTTTTTCTTGAATCTGATTTACTAGAGTATATTATTTTAATAACAATTACCATCTTTATTTTTATAATAATAATTCAATTATTTTATAACCTTAAAAAATTATTTTATTAGCTTATCATCTCAATCATAAAGCTCTATACACTCCTGTTTGTGCGACGTTGCCAAAAAACAGTACCCATAAATTGACGTTGTGGATTTCCTCAAGTTCCAAGCACTAAATGTGATTTCACATTCTTTTCTTCAGACGTCCATAAGACTTTGGTTGTAGAAATTTTAGCAAACTCTATATCAATTGTCACCAGCCATACTATATTGTGCTATATATTGTATGTCGTTGTATGGAGTTTAGATTACTATAAGTGTTTATATCATCGTAAATATTGACTTTATACATATTTATGCTATATTTAATACGGTTCGCAATTTAAAAAAATATAGTAAGTTTGTTTTCATTTACAAAGTTAATCATTCGTTTATCATAATTTTGCGTATTTTTTTGGTTTTGTTTGCTAAAATGATCTGCTTCTGTATGATTTTTAATGAATTGGTCTATCATGTTCTACTAATATAAAAGGTTAAATATGTGCAATTTTTATTCATTATTTATTAATGTATATCTACGATATTAAATTTAAAGTTTTTTACGTGACTTCTATTACGTACATTTAAATTTTTCTAATGGTTTGCTTATGTTTTTTAGATTAGATTGATACCAAAGATGACAAAAACACATGAAAAATAATTGACGAGTAAAAGTCCTTGAAAATTTTATCATTTATTATCTATGACTAATTTTCAAATAAAAAAGTAGTTTACAAAAAAGGTAATAATATTTTGGTTATCATTAATTGTAATAGTAATCAGTGGTTCAAATTTGTTTATTAATTTCAGGTAACTGCACAATAACATGAAATTGAATAAAGAGTATTAATTTATAGAAATTAAATACGAAAAAGTAATCAAGAAATTAATCGATTGTATAAAAAATGATTAACTCGTCAAAAATAAACAGTAATCAAGTGCCAAATAGCAAAACATTGAATAAAAATCAAAGTCAAATAAATTTAAAGCATAAAAATAAAGACAATTCAAGTTCCAATGAAACCAACATTGATAATCATAATAAAATGAATATTAAAGATGAAACAATTGAAATTTCTGATAGTGATTCAGAAAGTATAAAATGTATTGTATGCAATGAACAATTTTACGAAAAATTACATTTACGTGAGCATCTCATATCATCGCATCCAGAATTACCTGATTTAATTGTTTGCGATTTATGTAATGAAAGTTTTTTAAATGAAGACGAATTACGTGATCATGTTTCAAATGATCATGATAATAATGTCAATTCAAAAAAAGATATTCTTCAACAAATCTCCAGCCACAGTAAAGGTAAGCCAAAAAAATTAAAACATCGTAGGCTGTTTTATTTAAAAAAGTATTTACAAATAACCAATAAATTATTCGGTAAATTGGATAATAAAACAGTTATAAGAACCTCTCAAAGAAAAATTGCCAGAAGGAAATGGATGAGAGAACAATTGGAATCAAGTAAAGATAATGGCAATTCCACTAATTCTCATAACGAAAGCGTAATTGATTCAGAAAAAAATAATTTACAATATCCTACATCAACAGTTGAAATCGAAGAAAGTTCTGAACATGTAGATTTTTTAGACCAAAATCATGACGAATCTAATTCTTCCAGTAAATCACAAAAACATTCGAATGATAATTATAATAACTGTGATAATAATTCAGAACTTTTACAAGAAACTGTTGCAGACTCATCAGTTTCCAATCAATCTGCTTTTAATGAATTTCAAGAATTAACAACTGAAAATAGTAGTCTTGCATCTACTAAAGAAAATTCTGAAGCTGAATTAACTACTGAATTTATTAGTATTGGTGATGGTAATGTTGATAAAATTATAATTGATGATGATTCATTTGAATATAATGTTGAAAATAATCCATCTGTAAAAAACGATAATTGTAATGAAATTACGAACAATTCGAATAAGGGCTCAAGTGATATTATTAGTACTACATGTTATGCTATGTCGAATAGCAACCATGAATTAGCAAAAAAAATAACAAATAATGAAGGAAAAATGCCCAAAATTTCTACACCAAATAAGTCAACCATGTGTAGAACATATCTAGATAAATTTGCTACTCCAATTGTACAAAAACCAACAACAACTAACGTAAAAAGTAATGAAGTAAGAAGCGCAGTTTATTGTTATATGTGTAATGAAATATTTTGTTTGATGGACCAAAAATGTATGAAAGTTACTGAAGGAGATAAAGAACTGATTAAATGTTTGTTTTGTAATCGTAAATTTGCAATGAAAACAACTCTAGAAAAGCATGTAGCTTACTCTCATTTAAATTGTGAATGTATTAAAAATTTAAAACCCGTTAAAACATTTTCAACAACTGATCAAAATTTTGATCAAGGAAATGGAGTCGTTAATTCGAATTATGAGTGTTCAATTTGTCATAAAACATTTCTTTATTATAGTAGATTTAATTATCATGTTCTCAATGCTCATGAAATAACGTCAACTTTTAAAGAGCGATTAACCATTGGTAAACCTGAATATTTAAGACGTTTATCTACTACAAACTTTTTATGTAAAGCATCAAATAACGAAGAGTCAGCACCATTAAAAAGTACAACAAAGAATAGAAATACACCAATAAGATGTATGAGTTGTGAATTAGTTTTCAATTCATGTAAAGATTACGTTGATCATATTAAAAAGACTCATAAAGATGTTAAACCTATTGAAGAAAGTTCGTGGTATCCATTTCCTGAACCAAACCCTGAAGTATTAACTTCTTCATTAAGACTCTTACAAAATTTAAGAGGTAAAAGCTTTATATCAGAAAATAACACAGAAAAAAATTTTCATGAATTACGAAAGACCTGTAAACGATGCAACAGAGAATTCGATTCAATCAGAGAATTAAGTAAACATTTTTATTTAGTTCATGAGGATCCTAGTGATAGTCAACCTCCCCGTACTTCAACACCAACTCCTACCACATCTACTGTCACAACTCTTACCACTACTGTTTCTGGAGAGAGACGTACACATGATTGGTTTTGTTTACATTGTTCTCAACGATTTAAAATGTTACAAAGCTATATTCGTCATAGATATTTTGTCCATGATGATGAGTCGATGGTACACATCTGTGAAAACTGTTGTAAAATTTTAACGTCTTTAGAAATGGTTAATCTTCATGTGTGTTCAAATGTTACATCTTGGACATGTAAACAGTGTAATGAATCATTTCCATCTAGTATTGCTCTTCGGCTTCATAATACTGAAAAACATTACGAATTACCAGGACCACATATTTGTCCAACGTGTGAAAAAAAATTTTTAACAAAAACAATGTTATTAAGACATGTACAAAATAAGAATTGCTATCCCCATATTTGTCCACCGGAACCATCAGATATTGCGGTAGAAAATTCTACTGTAAACATTGATAGTTTGAAAATAACTAAAAATGCATCTAATTATTCAAAATTAGCAGAAAGTAAACAATCCAAGGAAATAACGAGTATTAAGAATTTTACAAATATCGAAGTTCTTCAAGAAGATGTGCTGCTGCGTAAATCTACTCTAGAAGAGGGAAAAGAAGAATCAGAAGATGAAGATATTTCAAAATATCTTAAATTTCATACGAAAGAAAAAAAATCGGAAGATGACAAAATTTATCAATGCAGTATGTGTAAGTTGTACTTTTTGTCAAAATCAGGATTAAAGCTTCATATCAATCGAGCTCATACTTCAGCTGTTGAAATTTGTCAGCTTTGCTATCGGATGTATGATACGGGGAATCTCGTGAGACATATTATCGATCAACATCTCAAAACTAATAAGACTAATGAACCTAAAGGAGTTAATAATTCTGAAACGAAAGAAAATGATATTGAGAAGGATACAGAAGAGCTTATCAAATTATTGGGAACAAAACATTTATTAGCTCTTTGTGAGTATCAAAGACATTTAGAATTAAACTTTAATCTTATTGCTTGTCCAAGATGTTCATCAGCCTTCGAAACTTCTGAACAATATCGATTACATAATGCTAATGTACATGATAAATTGTGTGCACTCTGTGATGCACATTTTAACACTGGTTCAGAAGCTGCAAATCATAAATCCACAGTTCATGGGTCAATTCCTTGTTACGTTTGGTTTGCTCATAAGATTATTTTAGCAATTGGTGATACAAAAACATTTGAAGAAACCGCAGAGAAAATTATTGTAGAAAATATGACTGGAAATAATGGAGATGAAAATGATGAACAATTAGAAGAGGAAAGTTTACCACTTGAATCTGAAGATGCATGTAATGAAGATGCAGTTACATCAATTGAAGATCAGAATACGCAAGATCAGAATCAAGAGCAAAAAATGATTCTCACTGTGGATCCAGATGTCTCAGTAGACCCCTCAGATGAAGATGATGAGTTAAGACTTTTTCTTGTTGTTACTGAGCAGGATCTTGAAAAATATAAAAATAATCTAACACAACTTGCAACGCAAATAAGTTCTGCGTGTAATATATTCTCAACTGAAGATATTGAGAAATTATTGCAATTATATGTCAAAAATGATTAATTTTTTATTTTTAGTAGATATTAAACATTAAGTTTGAATAGTTATTTTATTCTTTCATTTACTTTTATTTTTCATTTTATTTTACAATGAATTTGAGTTTTTGTAATTACTTTCCTTATTCTGAAAAAAAACTGTACAGTAAATATAAGCATGTTTAAATTGTACAATAAGTTACGGTGGAATTTTGTAAATTATAAAATTGATCTTTTTGTAAAGTAAAAATAATCCTTTCATCAAACAATAAATCAACAATTTCAATTAACTTCAATTGACTACAATATTTGAAAAATTGATACAATTGTCATACTGAAAGAAATAAATAATTTATTTATCTAAGAACATGTACCACTAATGTTTTTGCATAATCATTTAATTTTTAAAATAAAATTTCTAAAATATTTTGAATTTCGAAATTTTAACTCGTACACAAGCGCCGCCAGGTGTAAATTGCGAGAAACAATTAATCTTTGTATGAGTGATAAATCCATGTGTGCTATGTATTACGGATGATAGTTCTGAGTGTGTGGCTGTGAGTGTTTTGTTACTGACAGTAGTTTCTCTTGTAGCAAAATAGTGTGTGGTGGTGTGAGGTAGTGCGAGGTTGTCAGCAAATTTCGCGGGCTGTGCTCGATATTTAAGTGAAATAAAAACATAACCATGGCTTCTGGAGATAGTGGAACTAAAAAACAAAAATTAAACAATTCATCGAGCACAGCTTACAAAGGAGCAATGGCACAAAATGGAATGAATGGTACTCAAAATCCATCTATCGTTCATCCTGAAATGGGCTTCTATTGCTTCGATGTGTTATATTGTCAACTGCATCAACTTGACCCACCAAAAGCACCCAATTTTAGTAATGAAGCATTGTAAGTTGCATTTTACTAAATTAAATATGAATATGCATATGAATATGGTAAACAATGGTGTTTTGATTTCGACCCTTTACCCTACTGTAAACATACATTTTCCGTTACATTTACTGGAGACTGGTTGATTTTTCTCTCATCGCCATCTTACTCCCTTTGTTCTCCTCTTATTTTTACTCTCACGACCTCTATGCATTTCTTTCTTTGTTCGAACTTGCTAACATACGTCTTATTTTTTATGTCAATACATTATAGCCAAAAGCTTTTTTAAATTTAAAATTTCAAAAAGCTACTATGTACTTTTGTATAAAAAGAATGAACACAAAATAAAGACGATCGAAGAATACATTTTTACAGAGAATGAGTATTGCTACTATGGTTAGTATTAAAATTTTAATCTATGTAAATATTTATTCACGCATATGAGCATAATGAAGTTATAATTACTTGATAATTTCGTTCCTGTTGTAATTTAAAATCTATTTACGTTTTTTTTTAATTGCTCATAAATTTTATTATTAATAATTAAATAGTAAAATATGTAGTTAAATTCATGAGATTCTTTATTTGAATTATTACTTATTTTTATAATTCAATTATTCATTAGTATTGTGTATTTATTTTTAATTAATTTTTCAGTCCTTTATTCGTCACCTGGATGATTGGGAAAGATATGCGATTGAGGGGATGCATTGGAACATTCAATGCCATGCATTTACATGCAGGACTCAAGGAATATGCCGCCACAAGGTGAAGAAATTATTTATAACGTTCAGAATTTTTATCAGTATTATCTATGAATTTTTTGTTCTTTTCTTTCTCCAGTGCGTTCAAAGATTCAAGATTCAATCCAATTACCCGTGATGAATTTCCACGATTACATGTAAGTGTTTCAATTCTTCGACACTTTGAAGACGGCGTGGATTACTTAGATTGGGAGCTAGGAGTACATGGTATTCTTATTGAGTTCCACAATGAAAAAGGAAATAAAAGGACTGCTACATATTTGCCAAATGTTGCAGAGGAACAAGGTAAGTTGTTTCTTATATATAATGAAAAAACAAATAATCAAAAATTGAATTTTTATTTAGGCTGGAACCAGATACAAACGATAGATTCATTATTACATAAAGGAGGATACAAAGGATCAGTAACTCCTGATTTAAGACGTAGTTTGAAATTAAAACGATATCAGTGTGAAAAAATAACAGTGAGTTATCAAGAATACATTACCCACTTGCACAATCGACGATGCTAGCAAATGACCAGAATATTATTACTATCAGTGGTGATACCTTATTCATTAGGTGTCCATGATTCTTCTTGTAATAATTCTCTGCCCCAGTTGAATAATTTAGAACAAAATTATATAATAGATAATAAACAGCGAACGTTGGCAAGTGTAAGATTCAATATGTTTTTATCTATAAGACAATTTTTCACGTTATTAATACCGACGAAATATTCTTCATATTTATAAAATTAAAAGTCGGCTATATAATTTTTCATAAAATACAAATAATTATTCAGAAAAATTAACAAGTAATGATACTATTCATGAATATAATAAACTGGCGGCAATTTCCACACTTATAAAATACTTTTTGTTGTTTAAATGGTGCCTAAAATTTGTGTGTTTTACTATACATAAATAGTTTCCTCAATTATATTTGTTTATGGAATAATATTGTTCTTGTATTACTATTTGCTCATTTGTTCGAGCATTAACAGCATATCGTAATGTCAACTTATTTATAATAATTATGTAATTACTGTGTCCACTTATATGATAGCAATCTTAAAAAAGATCAATTTCGTAACTTCTACCAGATGATAATTTTCTTTTTTTTATTTTACATTCATAATAATCAGTATAATTTACTTATTTCAAGTAATGTTCATTTTATCTGTTATTAATCATTGAATATTAGTTTGCTTTGTTTGATAAAAACTATTCTATTAAATTTTTAATAAATTGCAACTTATTCAATTTCTGATAATTAGATTAACGAGATTGATAATAGAGTAGTTTTATTTGTTCAAATGTTAAATTAAAACTTCTACAGTTGTGAAGTTAATGGATAATTAGCATAATGTATTTGACAAAAAAAGTGATTATAGTTGATTGCTATTATTTTCTTATTGAATTTAATTAATAATTATTCAATTTATTCCCTAACACCAATTTTTAATGATAATTTACTCATAAATGTAAAAAATGGGAAGAGTTGAAGTTATTAAGAAAATCTTATTGATGAAAATGATAATATAGATATAAGGTACTAAGTATGACGACGATCTCATGGTGATTTTTTTATTGTTGTGTGGTTTATGATGCTATAAAACTGTAAAGACAGTACCATAGGTTGTAAAAATACAAAAAGAACAATGAAATAAATATATTAATTATTTGATATGAAAAAAATTCAAATAGTCGTCGTATATATTGACTACAGAATGCTCATTAGTTTAAGAAACACAGCAGTAAAATAAACCACGATAAAAAAAAAGATTTAATTTTATTATTCAAGTATTTGGCAGAATATCAAATTGATTTTTTTTTGTTACATGAATAATTTTGCTTTATTTAGATGGCCAGTCGTTTCATAGTCTGGTTATTGCACTGCCAATTTATTGATTGTTGTATCTATCATATTAAGAAAAACGAAGTTAATAAAAATTATTACATTATTACTTAAATTCTATTTACTTAAATAGTCGTTACTTATTCATAAAATTCAATCATTGTTATATGTATTAATTGAATTATTTGAAAAGTATATAATTAAACGCCCAATTAACTGCCAATACTGTTGCTTGTAACATAAAAAATATTATTAAGTAATGATATAATTTAAATGATGATAGAAAATTGAAATTAGTGCAATTGCTAAAATTATTTCCATGAAATGTGTTGCAATTTAAATAAAATCTAATGAATAAAAAAAAAAGTTAAATTAAAAAAATTATTCATTTTTAACTTGTAAAATTTTATTAGAGCAATAATAAAAATACTATTATTTATAGTATTCATGATGTTTTATGCTTACCTCGAAATTATTTATTTTCAATAGTTTAGATACATTGAATAATTACATTTGGATTGCTCACTTTGAATGCATTAAATAATTTTTTATTCAAAACTGATATCATGTAACTATTCAATAAAGTGATATATAAACAGTTTAAAAATATATAACAACTATAATTAATAGTCCATAATTCATGTTTTTCCATTCGAAAGTTTCTTTGGATTTGTTTCAGGTGGTATTTTATTAATTTCATTTAATTCTATTTCATTTTTCATCAATTTTTTGTGGATCTTTGCTAAAGCTACACTCTCCAAATATGTTATAAAACCTGCAGCAATAAAGTTCAAAATTACATGTCTCACAATTTTCTTTTTCAGTGATTCCACTAATTTCAAGTATAATTTGAATATTCCTTGTCCATCAGCAAAATATGGTATTCTATATGTTGCATATTTATTGGCCATCTAAAATTATCAAAATAATTACTATATTATTAATCATTTAATAAGGGCAAAAACAAGAGAAAAATTTACTTACATACAAGTTTGTACATGAACTGAGAATAGATGGATAAAGTACACAGCTTCCTAATTGGAGTAGTATTGCTTGGGTCTCAATACAAACAGGACAAGAAGCCTTTAAAGTTATGATTTTTTCTGTAATAATCTTTTTGGAACGAGATTCATAAAATTAGTACTGTTTAATAAGTATGTCATAAAAAATAAATAAGTATCTTTTACCGATTGATGACTCAATCCTATCACTGTAAATGTTGCTAGGCTTACTGTATAATGAGAAATTACTTTTCCGTAATTACGTAAATTTAATTTTGATCTAATAGCACTATTTATCCGTATAGATGTTATTGCCCCTAATCCTGCTAAAATGGGTGTTCCAAGAAAAAAAGGCCACCTGTAGCATTAATAATAGCATTGAAATTGAATCATAGTAAAGAGTAAATTCAGAAATAGTAAATTTATTTAAAAGATTGATTTATAATACACATTTTCAAAAAAAAAGAATTGTGGTAAACAATCCAATTTACATACACATCTATGAAATTTGGCCAATTATTGATTAGTTTCCATTGATGGTCAAATGCTTCTTCCGGTGTTAGTTTAATTGCTCCTTCAGGTATTTTTTTACCAATTGATAAAGCCATTTATTTATTGTATAAATCTATGTTGACTGTTTCAAAATTTTATTAGAATAATTGGCTATTGTAAGCTATGTTACAGGTAACTTTGAAAATTTTTCTGTATAATTTATTTAAAAAAAATAAATTAAAGTAATTGCAAATCACAATATTTCAAATGGTAGTATAGACATAAATATTAATTATTTTACCATGCTGAGTGATTGCAGCACGTTGTGCTGGACTGAGTATAAGTTGATATAAATATACATGGAAATAAAAAAAAGTCAATTGAGTGTCGTTCATGTATTTCCAACGAAAGGTGATCTACCGACACCATCATTGAAGCGTTAGAATTATTTTTCTATAAAATATATATTTTTAAAAACCCATTTTAAAATTCTATTTTGATTATATTAATATGATTTACTCTATTTTTATATATTAAAGAATCGTAATTATTCATTTGTTTCGACATTTTATGAAATTTATACTACTGCGCATTTGTTTTACGCAGATATGTAAGGAGTAGGGATGAGCACGCTTTCGCGTCGGTTTGTGTTCAATTTTGCCGGGAACTTCGTTAGAAGTAGTAGCGGTTCGGAGCGTGTCGTTAATTTTTGGTGTTTTTTTTTTATTAATAAAATAAGTGATGTGCAAATTTGTTTTTATTCAAAAAGAGTGTTTTATTATTTATAATAAATATTATTTAAGTTTTAATTTTGTTGACGCGTCGATTTTTTATTTATTTTAGGAAAGTGAGCATTTATACGTAAATTTATTTTTATATTTAAAATTTTTTTGTGTATGTGTATATTTTTACAACAATATATTGCATGGATTATATCACTAAGAATAATGGGATTCATCAGAAAAGGTATGTCATACGATTTATTTTGAAATTCCGAATTTATTCAATTCAAACATTTCCAAGTATTCTGTTCTGAATAAATTTCGTGGAATTGTTGACTATCCGGAGTAGCGTTGATGTTTTGTTTGCTCCAATTTTGTTTTGTTGAGAGATAATTTCCGAACAAGTTTCTAAGCAATATTTAGCCTTTATAAAATTTTCATTATGAATAACAATACTTGAATTATTATTTTATCAAAATAGAAATGTAGCTAATTTGAATTCTCCGAAAACAAAAGAATTTTGTTTTCTGAGTTCTCTGATGAATTGCAAGATGGCGCATATTTGACTATTGACGGTTAGCGACACATTGCGGCAAATAATTCATCTATAAACGACGCTGAGCTTGCAGTCAGATTCAAACCATCCCTTGGTAAATACGGTAAGGGGATGATTTGACATATAACAGACGCATTCTCTAGCTTGGCATCGTTACATGACGTCATAAGACGCAATCGACCAATCACACTAGTCGCAAGTCAGTTTTCCGGCTGCTAAACTCGCGTTTCGCCATATTGCCGTGTTTGTGGTGTGTTTATCAGTGTTTATATTAGTTTCTCGTGCGTAATTCATCGCGAATCGTCAATATTTTTAACATCTCGTGACCGTACGAATGTTGAACCGAACCATCTGGTTTATTATAACCAATTTTAAGTCAGTGACATTGTAGTGAGTGCGATAAAAAAAAGTAGACTGATTGTTGCTGTTATTCCTGTTTGTCCTTGAGGAGTTCTATCAACATTTTAAAGTCTTTTGGCTGGAATACGTGTCCTTATCATCAGGAAAAATGCCAGTTCGTAAACAAGGTGGTAAGCTCATACTAAGTAGTTAAAAGTTTAAGTTCCGAATGTTAACCTCACCCTCTAGGGTCCTTTTGATCTAATTTTTCCGTCGCTTAGGTCATTCGGTTAGGTCAACCTGTCATTCAATTCTATCATGTTTTCTTACATCCTTCATTCAATATTGATTTTTCAGTTTATTTTTTTTCCTCATTAGTTCTTTTCATCTTTGATGTTGTTTTCTCTTTATCTTTTTCTATCATCATTTTTACCATGTCCTTGCTATTTTGTCCTCGAGACAGATGAAACAATAAATTTCATCCTCGTTTACGCAATCAACATTGTTCTTCTATCATCACAAGCGACATGTTCGTTTTACTGGGTTCTCTTATTAATGTACGCCAAAACTCTGATGCAATAATCTATACATATAAATTACTGCACATATAATTGGAAGAAGTCCAAGGGAATGCAACAATTTCGGCGCGAGTCTTTACCGTAAAATTGCTTGTATTATTTTATAATGTCATCTTTAATAAACGTTCGTGTAGTCAAACGTTTCTTCACCTATTTCTGCACCATGTTCAAGGATTCAAAGATGTTGACGGTATGCTTTTCATGATACTACGTTTTAATTAATATTTTCTTCCGTTTAATATTGTTAATTTTTATAAAAATCAGTGGTAGAGTTCGGAGTCAGTATTTTGTCCCACGATGTATTAATATAAAAAGGATGAAAAATCAATAAAACGATGAAAGCTGATGAAAACAATGAATGAATGAAAAGTATGTCGAGAGATATTACATTGTAAAATGAGTGTATGAAAGTTTGTGTAGATTCTTTTCTAATCAATCATCTTTTATAAAGTATTATCTATTATTTTCGCCATTTTTCGTTGTAATATTCTCGTATGTGATGTTGAACCTATTGAGCCTATCATTCTTTTTCACTTGTCTCATCGTTTCATGTCTCATAAGTGCCATAAAGTAGCTTGATATAAAAGTGCAAATGCTTGCACATTGTATTTATCTACATACCCATGACATCCGAACCTACTACGTACCCATTATGTGCTTTACGATACGAAAAAGTTGTAAGAGTTTTATTCAACACATTGTCTGATTATGTATGAGCTAAATAATATCTCATAAAGTGCTAAATTTGTCAATAAAATGTTATTTTTTTTTATTTTTCTTTAATATTTTCTATTTTTTGGAATTTTAAATTTTTATCGTCGGATTTATTTGATGAATTATTCCCAACAAAAATACTTTTCTGAAAATATTTCATTCTAATTAACTAATGAATTCATTTCATACATTATCATTGTTTAATAATTTTAATTATCACGTTACCAGTATTATTTTAAAAATATTGATTTAATTTAATTACTGAAGTAATAATGTTTTTAAACAGATCAATTCTGTCAACGTGATTGTACATTTAATTGGATTTTTTGTTGTCTATTTGTAAATATTTATTGTAATAATTTGAATCTAAAGTCATGTTGTAATTTTTGTTTTATTTTGGTATTTTTTAGACTTTTATTTGTTAATAATTCAAACTTATTCCCAAACAAACATATCCAGAGAATAGAATAAACAATCGAAAAAATTGTTGAGTGTTATAAAATATTAAACAACATGAATTTATCGAAGTTATTTGCATACAAATGGTCAATTTTAAGTATAGAACTGAACATTCACGTGATAGCAATTGGGTTACGTGTTTTCGCAGTTAACCTTTATCCCTGACATTTCATTATTGATAGGTCCTTTTGTGATACATCCTCTTTAAATAAAGACAGTAGGTGACATAAAGCAATTTATTGTTAGATGTGAAATTTTCAACCGTAACAAGGCAATAAAAATATTTGATGGTAAAATTTTAAGAGTTTGGTTTATTTTTTTTTATCTATCTAACACTGTTTTATCGTTATTGACGCTTCTACTTACCGTGAAAATAGTCTTGACGAAGCAGAAAAAAAGCCCATGTCCTTTTCCCTCCTTTGAGAGACTATTTTTTCTTATTTTGCTTCCGTTCTCTTATCGTCACTTCGGAAATAGGTTCCCAATCATTTTCTCTCGACTCAGAAAGACTGGAGAAGCAAATAAGATCTCGTTTCATTCGCTTCGATTACATGGTACCATTTATTATATCCTAGAAATCTTTGATACAGGATATATTTTATATCATGTACGATGTCACCATTTTGGAATAAGAGCTCATAGAAAACCCGATAATAATTTCAAAAATGGAGGATTTGATTTCAGAAGATTCCACTTGCTTTGTAATAAAAGCAACTTTTATTTTTATCATCAATTCATTGTGTCTAGACTGTATCAAGTACTTTAGCGATTGTTATATTTTCAAAACATTTTTTTTCATTCTTCTTTTTTTTCATTGATTCAATTAATCATTTATATTTTTATTTATGCGTCACTTGAATAAACAGTGAATTTGATTTAGATGAATGTCAGTTTAAAATGTCAGGAAAGGTGAGGTAAAGTGGAACACAAAGGAAAAATGTAAATCAACAAATTAATTAATATATTAACGAATTTTAATAATTTTTGATGGATTAATAAATTGAAAAATTAATAAACAAAAGGCACAATAAGTGTTTTTAAACTTTTTTTTGATAAATTAGTACATTTTCTCGAGTGTTTCACTTTGCCCCTGCCTTCCACTTCACCCTCCTTTTCCTTATTGATTGAAATAAATTAAAAACTTATTTTTAAAAATATGGAAATGGAATTTTAAAAACATGTAATTATGATTTTTAAACGATTCTTTATCAGTAAATGTTTATATTTTGAGTTTAATGGTAAAGAAAATACTTTTAGATAAAATAAGTTATATTTTAACAATTGATTTCTCCTTAAATCGATAAAATCTACAGGGTGGCTGTCTACTCTGATCTCCCCTATATACAATATTATTCATGCTCATATTGGGTCTAAGGGAAAACTGAGTTTTGAAGAAAAAATTATTTTTAAATTAAACTAGAGTTCTAGACATACTGAAATTTTATTGGAGGGTAGGCTAAATTAGGGTGTATAATTGATTTCTATGTGAAATGATGCTGATGATAGAATTTATTCAATTTTTATAAATCCAAGCAAAAAATAACTAAAAAGTTATGAACAATAACTGTAAACATTATACAACACATTATAATATAGTACATTACATTAATTATCCTACGACATTATTAAAATTAATTTTCTTAAAAAAAAAATTTTTTAATTAAATTTAGTATACATTATTTAAATGTGAGCTTTATTTTAAAATTATTAAAACTATTATGAAATAATAAATCTGTTAGTTGTTCGTTAAATCCTAATTTATTAGCTGTTAATTAATTAACATAGTTTTGAATCTATTTCCAAACTAATGATTTACTCAATGATGTAAATTTACCTTTGGCTCAAATGACTTCGTTTAATAATTTGATAATTTTGATTGAAAAGTTATTTTAATAATACTAACTATAAGTCATATTTACATAAAATTGTGCTATTTTTAAACTCAATGATAATTATGATAAAAAAATAAAATATATTAAAATATTCAATTCTTAAATATGAATTATACTTTTTATAATTCTAAAAAGCTGAAATATTTATCAAACAATTGTTACTTAAAAG